ATTTTTTATGAGTTGAATCATGATGTAAAGTATAGAAAAAAAGGCATATTGACTGGATTTTATTTTCACTGAATTATTCCTTCGGTGAAAATGGCGAAAATTAATTCCAAGAGAAATTAATGTATTTTACAGTGCATGGATGTTTTGAAAATGCATTTTTAATCATTATGTAGCTACCTCTAGACGCTGATATCTCTTTGGATCGAGTAGTTTTATATCAAATATTTTAAAGTCACCTTTCAGCATAAAAATGGTAAAGTGCAAGTAATACTTTATTTTATTTTATTTTATTTTATTTTTTATTTTATTTTATTTTATTTTATTTTATTTTATTTTATTTTATTTTATTTTATTTTATTTTATTTTATTTTATTTTATTTTATTTATACGTTAACCACACAGATAAATACATAGAATTATCCTATCAAAAGAGTAAAATTTCTACACAAAAACCATGGTAACGAGATAATTATAAAAATACGAATATAAAGTAAAAAGAAAAAAAAAGAAAAGGAGTATAGTCAACGTCACAGCATGTTGAATGATTAGCTTCGCTAATTTGCCTCCCCTATCACCACGCTCTTTTTCAATATTATAAACTTGCCTGATGAGATATAGACATCATGAAAATAATTGTTTTCGTTTCTCATGTGCAAGTAATATAATTTATAAAGTGTTGTTTTCTGGGTGCGTTTACTATGTCAAAATCAAATGCCTCCATGGTAATTTGGCCACCGACTCGGAGCATCGGTGGCGACCACAACGCGCCAGAACTTACCACCGTGTAGTCGCGCCAATTTCTAGCATGCATTAGTTAGCGACGTTCGATATTAGAATACTAGGCCTCAGCAGATGTTATAAAATCGTTATACCTATTTTTAGAACCGACAGTCGATTATCAGATGTCGTTGCGTTTTAAACAAGTGGCCTTTCTTTCCCCTCTATGGGTCCAGAACTGTCTTATATTCACGATGTTATATATATATATATTTTCTGCTTTAATAATCCAGGCTGCGTTTTTAACATACACCGAATTTATGTTGCAATTTACTGTATGTAAAAAACGCCTTATATTATTGTGGTTAGCATATTGGAATCAATACGTTTTTAAGAAATTTAAATAATACAAAAAAACTAGTTTTAAAATATGATGATACAAACCGCTATTATTCCTATGCAATACGTATTTGTTACATTTTGACGGGTTCCTAAATAGTACAGTTATGTCGAAGCGTATATCGATATGAATGCGTAAACGTTAAAACCCTGGTTTCAATTTTAGTGACGTAACAGTCGCGTCACGCTAATCTTGCTGTGCCAAGTACATACCGGTATTATCGGTATTATTTACATAATTTGTAACCACATATGCTATTACCATGACAACCACAGTTACAGAGACGGTCACGGTACCCTGCTATATACAATTGTTTTTCAAGACGATATTGTTGTACAGCAACCTATTCTGGTCGCAAACCGTACTTATCCACGTTTCTGAACATTTACTCTACAAATACAGATAGAGTAGTTGACAGAGTGATTCTCTAAGTGGCGATAGGGATAACTGTCAGTATTTGAATCCCAAATTCATTTTGATACTCCTTAAGTTAATTATGATTTATCGTAAACCGAATTGTTTGTTTGGCGGCTCGTGTCAGTGCGATTCTTAACCCACAATATTAAATCCATGGTTCTGTCCCTGTGTATGGTATGGATACCGTTTAGTTACACGCGTTGACATTCGTACTTCTACTCTAAAGTTGTGTATGTATGCGCCACGGTTTTGACATCAATTTTTGAGGCTCGCCAAATTTTGTTAGCCCCGTTGTCGCCACTAACAAACATTTAATCATTTCGGGGCAAACAAACAAAACAATTCTGAACCCCAAAGCACCCCAACGTCGATCATTTTTGGTCCAGTTTTCAACAGACTTCGTACTACTAGTATCCCACCAAAAATCCAAATGAGCACCATCTGAAACGAAATCCGTTATAGCGAGCATGGAACTATAAACCCCCATGTAGCGAGTAAGGAACACATGCTTTTATTATTTTTAGTTCATATATGCGTTGCTATGCCGTTCGGTAGAACAATGATCGAACTGTAGTGCACCATTGACACCGATGTTAGCTATATGGATAAGCCAGTCCACATCAGGAAAGAGGGAAATATTGTGTTACCTGTGTTAGCCCTATGAATACAAGCCAGTCGACGTCGCCAACGAGTACACCATTTATACGTGAATATATAGATATGTAGATACAAAGAATCTAGTCCACCTATCAACAACTTAATTCTGTTTAATTGTTGATCATCGACGATCCTGGAAATGCTGCACAGATATATGGAATCGTGTTTCAGTCAAAATACCCAGTATTACTGTGATATGTCACACGCAATCAACAATAATCTCAATAGCTCTCTAAGTTGACATTGCACCGCACTGTGTTATACGTTTTTTTTTTGCAATATAGTGTTGTTACCAAGTGTCAATTTTGTGACGTCATGAGGTCACATTGGGTCAATTCAACCGTAGAGTACGAGTGTATACTTTCTATCACTTAACTTAGTGTGTTTGAATGCGACGTTTACAAACACACGGAACACATTATTACGCTGAAAGGCACCTATATCGAGGAGTTTAAATTTACAGATTGCTTATTGAAAGGTATGTGTTGTGACAAATGTTGACATGGCGTTGTATGATGCCAGCGATGTTTAAGTTTGTGCACGTGTCTCGATATCTTTATTTGGTTTTCAGATACATTGAATTACGTTGTCCAAAAGCGATTGAAATTATGCCAGGCGATCTAAAGGTGTCACTAGTTTGATTGTTAAATGGTCTGGATTTCATTCTGTCTTTGTGTAAATAGTTATGGATACGATGGTACTGTCTCCCCTAAACGTCGGGTAAAAATGGCAAATTTACAATGGATCGAGCACAAAATATGAACAGTAATCAACCTCAATAACTCAAACCCCAACAAATGTGGTGGTGGTGGTGGTGGTGGTGGTGGTGGTGGTTGCGGTGGTGGTGGTGGCGGTGGTGGCGGTGGCGGTGGTGGTGGTGGTGGTGGTTGCGGCGGTGGCGGTGGCGGCGGCGGCGGTGGTGGTGGTGGTGGTGGTGGTGGTGGTGGACCAAAAAAGAGTCAAATGTATATGTATAAGGACTGTTCTAAAATTAATAGGCAGCTAAACACACGTAGAAATGTTAAATGAAACAAATGCCATGGACCTCGGGGTACAGGGGTACATAATGACTTTTCAACGCGGAGGTAAACGCATGTCGTGTCGTATTGAAGCGATTCACCGTGGTGACATGAGCAGCCCGAGCCACTGAAGCGAAGCACCGAAAATGCTGCAACTTGCAAATTTCTGTAAAATATACTAATGATGTTTTAATTATTAATTATTGACGTGAAGTCTACTCGCTTAGAAAAGCTTATACGAATCACTTGGTTTCCCTGTAAATCGAGGTTCGTGTTCTAATCTGTTTCAGCGACCATTAATCACGCTCTGTGTTGTTGGAACTATTTATAGTAGTAGTAATTGTCTACCACGTGATTTAGTAAAATACACCATTCACTACTAAATCGTGCTTTCCCGGAGATTGCTGTCCCAAGGCGTGGGTCTAACACCCTATATAGAAATGAAGAGCACGTTCATGGCTAGGACATTTATGACTATAATGTGATCAACACAAGTGGCGTTTGTTGGGTTAACGAGGAGCAACGGACCAGGTCCCTGGTTCCACAGCACAATGCGCTATGCCCTCGTGTGGTACATATGAAGCGTCAACTCATTCTAAACGTCGTTATAATAACAGCGTTGCACCGACGAAATGACAGGTGGCTATTCGGTTGGAACTATAACTTTGACAGAATGAAATGCCAATGGCTTGTTTGCATTGTCAAATGTGTTCATATTTGTATGTGTAATTATACTATATCAAAATAATATTGGTAACACCTTATTTCCCGTAAAAATGAAAAGATATACAAGTTATACAGTATTTTTCAACAAAATATGTCTACTAACCTTTTGGATATTTTGTTTCGATCACGTGACCTGATATTTGGCGCAATGCTGAATTTTTCATTGCATAAATGTAAGTCAAAACAGAGCGTACTGTCTTTGAAATATACACATCTTAACTATCATAATTGTTTTCGTTGTGAATTATATTAAATTAAAAAAAGAATATCTGGTTTCTTATGATCAGCAGCACAAATGTCCCCATTTTAATCTTCACTGCGTCTAACAGATTATTTTAGTTTAGCTAAATTTTCACGTATATTTTGAAAAGAATACATGCTAGTCACTCTAAAATTAAACTTGGTGGATATTTTATAGTGATGAATATTATTTTTTAGTTTGAAGAAGATCAGATACAAATTGTTATACTTATTGTGACCACAAAAGAAGAGTTACAAGTTCACCAATATTATTAAAAATGTTCATGCCAGGCATTAAGCGAACTTGGCCTAGATCTTGTAATATATTATTACCTGAGTCTGTGTAGATATAAACAAAATAAATGTTGGGGAATGTAATAATACAAGGACAACGATAACAACATGATGACGATGAGTACATACATTATTTCTCATATACATTTACTATTGTCTAATGTATGGGAAATGTAAAAATGAATCAATAAATCTTTCAAATGCATGTACGATAGTAAACTATAATTTCTGCGTACATGGAATATTTTACATGTAAAAGTCGAAGCATATTTATATGTCGTACTACTCTGGCACTTGTTGTCCACAGAGTGGCGTGGTAGTGTTTCATTATGCGAACTGCGAGGTGTTACTATGGAAACAGTTCTCCACATGATCTGTCAGATTGTAGTTTAAACACTGTAATATTTCAAATACGTTGACAAGTTGAAATACCGCACATAATGAAATATCCATTATTATTGTGAATTTGATGGAATGTGAATTTGATAATAACCTGTGTGATGCATGACGGGAAATCTATAGTAAGCACGTCGACATGAAAGATGGTTTCGCGTCGCCTGCCGGTTCTATATTGTTTTTTTAGAGCAGACTGAATAGCCTTGAACGTTGTACTGGCATGTCACACCAATACCACCAGTTTGTCTTTTATCTCGTATGCTCTCAGACAAAATACAATTAATTCCTGACTATTAGTAGTTAAAACGTTTCTATATGAATACTTGTGTGTACTTATAGAACGCACTGTTTGTAGAATTTACCTTGCGATACACGCCTTTGTCGTCAGTGATACGACTCACCTGGCACCCCGTCACGTGAACACTACGTCACGACACCATACGTCGGGTGAGTATAACTGAGTTATCATCGATGCTATGTCCGAACGACATGTTACAATTTAAATATGATGCGAGTCGTTAAATTCTCTAGTAGGAGTATAAGAAATCGAGTTTAACGATTGTTTTAAACAAGGGTTATGTATTTTGTACACATTATATGTGACAGTAAGGGTGTATACCGTGTAATGTTGTAGCAAACAAGTATTTCTTTCGTGGAACCACAACCGCGACTTGTCGACAGACTGATGACTTTACTGACGATTACGTCAAACATACAGAGTGCGTTACACGACTGAGCGAGCGAACATCTTTGGGTGATTACATCGCCAGGCACCCCTTACTAGGCCATTTTTGCGTACAGAATGTAGTTAATATTTTACTTAATAATAAATATACTCTAATGTAATCTTAATTGTACCTGACCTCATAGTGTGTATAAGTAGATATATATATGTATTGCAGTTTATAAGAATTAACAATGGTTTCCTTGTTTGAGATCTTACAGTACAGACAGTAACGCCTGATTACTCACGGTGCCTTACTATCAACCCCTGATAAATTTACTGAGCAGTCTGAGTACTACGTAGAATGTGTGAACTACACAACGTTTTTCAAATTTAATTCATTATCGCCTCCAGCGCAGACGCCTTAATGACGCCAATACTTCTGATGTCGTGGAAAACCCACAGACTGTACAAGTTACAAATGACCATTCAGCCGACGAAAGCATGACATGTCTTTGTTAAAACATCTGAGATCAAAGTGTGATTGTTTGGAAGGACGGCAAAGGCTAATTACCCCCACGACCACGTGACTAACCCGCTAACTAGATTGATAAAGACAATTGCAGAATTGTAACTAAACATATGTTGTTCGTGGTGTTAATACAACGAAACTAATGATGTATGAATACCACGCTGTACTCGTATCACATTTAAACATATGCTAACCGTGATGTTCATACACGATTTCATTTATAACTTCTGAAGTAATACTTTAAATTTGTTGGAAGTTAAAACGGGGGAGTCGTCACCTGCGCATGCGTCAGATGGCCATAGTGTGTTATTGTTTACCAACAAGCGTCTACCCATGAGCCTTGGCGTTTTTAGCGTGTGTTGTTATCGTCGTCGTGACCCAATTCCCGCGCGTGCGCAGGTGGCGAACCTCCCGCTTTAAGAACATGGTAGCACACCGGTGCCAACCATACACTTAAATGGTTGCCCTAGCAACATGATAACTGAAATGAACATTTTTGCATTTTTAAAATTTTGCTACCAAATGCTCAATACTTCGTATATTTTATATAATTTATCGACAAGAGTAGCTCATACAATGTACAAGTCGGTAGGCTGATTGGCAAGATGTGTGATCTGCCTGTCAGGTTTGAACGTAATCGGTCCAGACGAAAAAACAAATCACGGAAAGATATTACGCACGTATAGACATACATACAGACATACATACACACAGGCAGACGGACGGACAGAGACAATGTATAACATGCTGATCGCAAACATAGGACAACGACCAAAATGACCATTTTTATTTATTTAAGTTTTAGTTTTCGTTTTTTTCGTAATATATTTACGTTTTTTGTCGTTCCATCTGTCTAATTTTCATTAATATAATTAAATACACGAGTAATATACATACTTGAACTTACGGATAAAATCATGTCCTTAATCATTTGCAACAGATGTCGTGTTGTTTTGTTTTACCCATAATGCCTTGTTCGAAAATCAAAATAGTTGACAACGCAAAATAATATACTAAGTTGAATACAGAAAAGCTGGAAATTACATTCCCCTTAACATGTTATTCTAAGTCAGTGTGATTGGACTTCCGAGACCAATTCTAACTTGGTATTATTCGTGAGACTGTGTTTATTTTTAAACCAGAAATCTGAATAGTAAATATTGATAATTATATTATACCAGTATATTGATGGTGTTAATCCATTGATTTGATTGGTCCAAACACAAAATGTGCATATGCAATCCATGATATATTGGCTGATAATGCACGGCTAAACCAAGTGGCTCTGGAACATGAATTGACTACAGGTTTAATACGGAAATACATAAAACCGGTATTATTTGATTTTTAGGGAAATATAGTGGTTGAAATTTAGAAGAATATTGAAAAAAATACTGAATTAAAAACATCTGAAAAGTTATATAACTATAATATTGCTTTTTGTTAATGGTGGGATCCAAGTTGTGAGCGTCGGTCGCTGGGTGATTGTCGTTCGCCACACAAACCTAAACCACCGTCCCTTAACACCGTGAGGTGCCTACACGAACGCCAGAACGCTATGTTCTCAGTGTTGTTACTTTGAGATGGATTGCGAACTTCCAACAAAGAAAACATGATCTTTAAGTACAAGATATAATTGAAGGATTTAATGACATAAAAATGCAAAAAAAACTATGAGTCACAGGCAAAAATGTATGCCACCAATAACAACGGGTGTCCGGTAGCGGCAGCTGACAAAATTGCAGTGCTGTCATGAATTTGTTTTTGCGTATCTGTTAACCGACTTAATTAGTTGATTATTAGCTGAATTGCTGTGTTATGTCTGTCATCGTTTAGGCCTATTTGAAGTTTTGGACGGAACGTGGCTCAGTGATTTGGAACTAATTACCAGATAACCGTCGCGATTCTGACAGTTGATATTCATAGTTATTAATGTAGTGAACGATTAATCAAAAGATATGACGTATTCAGTACTTAGTTTGATTGGCTTTATGATTGAAGGTTACGCCCTAGAGTCTTTTTACTGTTTTGTAATTGGTTAGAGTTTTGAAAATGAATAAAGAGAGTTTGAGTTGGTCTTGGGGAGCACAGCAAGAGAGAGTGCAGTCCTGGAGAGTCGAGTCGAGTCCTGGAGAGACTTGGGGCGAGCCTTGACGCAGTCTAAAAGAGTCTTGGGTCAGCCTTGTGATAGTCCTGGGGATTTCCCCCCAGGGCGCTGTGTCTTATAGAGTGCTCCACAGATCGACTAAGACGAGAGCTGAAACGTATTTCGTTGTGTGTGTCTTATTTGACTGTAAAGCTTAAGTGACTTTCCCGATCCCGTACCTCAAGGGGACGAGATAGAGAGACGAGACGAGTTCCCCCCCCCCCTGACACGTGTGGAGAACCCCTAGAGGAAAAGATTTTCCCCGTGATAGTGCACCCGGGTAATTGCCATCTGTTTCAAAAAACACGGGACAACGCAGGATTCGACGACGATATATGATATTGTATTTCTTCACTATGGGTAAATAAATTACAGGAGATGATGAAGGTAATTTCGAAAGCTACAGATTTGTGCCCAGTGTACACCAACCACTGTATTAGAGCGACGGCGTGCAAAGTCTTTCGGCCTTAGTTGAGACAAGGCATATCATGTACGTGTCACAAAAACGATGCGAAAATCCGATCTTACACCATCAAACTTACCCCAGAACAACGACAAAACTTGTCAGTCATACTATCACAAAACT